CCCCAAAACCCCAAAACCCCAAAACCCCAAAACCCCAAACTTAAGCATCAGATAGAATTTATTATTAGAATGGGGCTTTGCACTATGAAAGCACCTCACTGCCCTCATCTTCCTCATCTTGTTCCTTAATCTCATCATTATCGTTCTTAAGAGAGGACATGGCCATCAGTTGGTTGAAAGAGACTCTATTGGATGCCTTACTTCCTTTACCTCCTTTTCTAGACTTCACGATGCCTTTGTTCGGGCCAAGTACATCAGGATTTATGTTCATCGGTAGGTCATCAGGGATTATATGAGCAAAGTTCGGATCTTTCTTCTTCTCAGCCATTTCTTTGAATAATAAGTGTATCTTGTTCTTCAAGTCAACTACTTGTTCCCTCGTGGTAGAAAGCTCTTTTTCGTAACTTTTGATTTTAGCATTCCTTCTTCGAAGTTTCTTCTCAAGTACATGCTTCTCTTGCTTAGAATTCTCAGCACTAACCATTTGGCTATACATTTGCTTTAACTGTGACATGTTCTTTGTCAAGGTCATTATCTTTGCGTAGTTGTCCTTTTGGTCTTCTCCAAGGAAGTTCTCAAGCCCATTATATTTAACCTTCCATTCCTTAATTTCATTTTCTAATTTTTGGATCACTTTGTTCTTCTCATTTAGTGTTTTAATGATAAGAGATTTCTCCTCCTTGAACTTCTTCTGTTCGGTTGATGATTTTTTCTTTTGAATTTTAATCATCTCAGTCTTAAGCTCAAAGATTTTATGCTTTGCTCTGCTATATTTCTCCTCAATTTGGTCCATTAGTGCCTTCTTTCCAGCCATTTCCTTTTCGAGTTTTTCTTTTTGCTCATCTAGTATTCTTTGATGGTCTTGCTGGATAATTGCTTTTTCGTAATCAGTGATCTTCTTATAATTCTCTTCTACGATCATTTTTATTTCCTTAGAATCTTTAAAATCTTTCTGAAGAAGTTTATTAACAAATTCTTCTTTTTCTTTAAGCAAAGATTGATATTTTATAATCTCCATTTCATTATTGATCTTTTGGTCCTTTAAGCTTTCGATTTTTTTAGATTGCTCCTCTTGCAAGTATATGAGCTGCTTCTTATATTTCTGCACTTTCTGTTGCAACTCATCCTTCTCCATGTGGACTGTTGCTGCCTTCTCAATAAGCTTCTCGTTCTCCTTGTACACTTTGGAGTACTCAGTCTTTGCCATCTGGTACTTCTCAGCCATTTCTTCATGCTTGCGCTTAGCCTCAGCCAGCTCGGAGTCTCCATCTCTGGCTTTGTCATCAGACTCCTGAAGCCGGGCTTTACACTCTGCTTCGCTAGCAACAAGCTGAGCAATCTTGGCTTCCTGGTCTTTGATTTGTTGCTCGAAGTGTGCCAGCTTCTTCTCCTGGATCTGGAGCAAGTCTTGCTGGCTCTCTCTGACATCGCTGACATCCGAGAGGCTGTTCTCGAGCCGCTCGATCTGAGTGCTGAGCTGCTCGATTTCTTCGAGTTGCTCATGAATCGTTTTGTCTTTGATTTCAACAGCTTTCTTGTTGGAGGAGAGTTCGCTCAGCAACCCAGCAAGCTTCTGTGCTTGTGAAGTATACTCGGAGTGTTTGCGAGCAAGCTCGTCTGTGACTTTGAGAAACTCTGCTTGGCTGACGACACTGGTCTTGGTCTGGACTCCGTGTTCGCAGAGCCGTTTGTCGAGAGTGTCAATTCTGGTGAGCAAGTCGTCTTTGCTGTGCTTGGCATCATCGCTGGGTTCTGTGGGTCAATCTAGAAGTTCGTGCTTGAGTTCTTCTGGGTGTTGCTCTATGAGTTCGGTGTGCTCAGGATGTTCTGGGTGTTCAATGTGGTCAATGAGTTGAGGGAGTTCTAGAATGTGAGAAAAAGGATATACCTATTGGATCAGTTTGTATTTCTAAATTAGCTGAAAGTGCTGCTTGAGTTTGGGCTCCATGTTCAGATAGTTGTCTTAGTGCATCATCTGTCATCATTTCAAAAGAAGAATACTTAATGTCAACTGAAGTTCCAACATTTCAATGATCAGCAGTAGAGTTTGTATTGGTCTTCACATTAACTAAAGTAGGTTGCTCAGTCATTGTTTCTGCATCATGCTTCTTTGCTTCTACTTCCTTCTGAAGTCTTGCAAATGTTTCGTCAATTTCTTCCATGCGAGACTTTTGCTTTGACTTATGTGCTGGTTTTGTTTTAGAATTTTTGCTTGATGCTTCAAAAGTAATATCCCCAACATTTGTCATTGACTCATCTCCAATCATGCTCTCTCCCATCATACTATCTCCCATCATACTATCTCCCATCATGCTGTCTCCGATCATGCTATCTCCGATCATGCTATCTCCGATCATGCTATCTCCAATTTTGCTACTGTCTAGCATGCTGTCATCGATTCTACTATCTTCAATCCTACTATCAAAGGCTTTGCTTTCATCATCTGAAAAATCTTCATCTGAAGATTGGTTTTCAAGAGCATCTATCTTTTCATTAGCTTTCTCTTCTTCGTCTACTTCAACAGGCTTTTCCTTTTCTGTAGGCTTTCTTTGGATGAAGTCATCTTTTTCCTGTGGCACTGTTCCACCAAGATTTTTAATAATTTTCTCTAAATTCTTGATTCTTCTGTTCTTTAATTCGATTTTAGCTTCAGCTTCATCTAATAATTTCTTGAGCTCTGCAACACTATACTCCTTATTAATTTTTGGCTTGTTCTTGATCTTCTTAGCACTCTGACCAAACCTGAGGGTGGATACTGTTTCAGCTTCGTTAAACACACTGGGAGAACATGCAATAATCAGGCATGTCCTTGAGTTTCCTCCCAAAGATTCTTGAAGAATTCTTGTCAACTTAGAATCTCTGTATGGCACATGTTTAGATTTTCCATCAGTCAAGGCATTGATTACTTGCCCAAGGGAACTCAGAGATTTATTGATCTTCTTAGCTTCATTAAGAGTCTGTCCTGTTGCACCAGTTTTAGATATCTTTTCTGAACCAGCCAGATCAACTAAGTATAGTTTTCCACTTTTTCACTGAAAATTGACTGAGTTATTCTGTGTGACAGTCATAATGAAGCATGAATGTGATCTGGAACTTTGCTTGTTCATATCTGTTACTCCGATAGATCTATTATCATTACCAATATTCATAATTTGGTTGACTTCATATGATTCTGTAACATAAGTCTCAGTTACATCTCCAATGAAAACACCTTTTACCTTATCTTCGTGAACTTGCAGATTGATTTTCTTTGGATCCAGTAAATCTCGGATTCTTTCCATGTAGATTTCAATCATTGATACCTTCACAGTAAATTCTATATCCTCGCTGGCTTCGTCTATCTGATTGAAAATGTGTCTGACTATTCTAGGAATGATACCCATCATTTCTTCATCATTAATGTCAGTTCCTTGCATTGTATGTGTCTTTCCTGAGGAAGTCTGACCATATGCGAAGATGGTGCCATTAAATCCTTCCATTACACTTTCAACGATTGGAAGTGCTGCAATTTCGTATATCTGCTGCTGGGTCGTAGTCATATCGAGGACTCTGTCCATATTAAACCTAATCTTCCCGAGATTTCCTTTGCTGCCTCCTCCTTTGCCTTGGTTGATCTCAACAGTTTTATCATCTATAAAATTGGGGCAGATGACCGAGCTGGATCTATTGATTAGTGCACATGTGGCTTACTTGCTTGAGAGCTCTTTCGAATTGAGAGGTCTGAATCTACACACGACTGCTATATTTCCTCCCCCAATATCTATCTTCTCTTTCTTTTCTTCAGTTGGCTTCGCTGGAGGTTTTGCAGGAGGTTTCGCTGGAGGTTTTTGTTGCTTAGCTTCCTCCTTCTATAAAAATCATAACTAAAAATTCCTCAAATATGACATAAATCTATGCTGAAGCTTCTCTTGTTAATTTGTTAAGGCTACTTACAGGGGTTTGTCTTTTCTTAGGCGACTGGAGCTTGGCTAGAAACAGACATGAGAATGAAGGAATCACAGCTACTTACACTTGGGCCTATCCATTTTAAATTTTATTAAAAGCCTTGTGTTTTAAGGGGTTTTGGGGTTTTGGGGTTTTGGGGTTTTGGGG